GGGGCCGCAAAACCCCCGTTGGTAAGCTGCTCCCAGTGCCCCATGTCTGCTGGAGACCGTCCCCAGCAGACCACAGGCACCGGGACTGAAGCCGCAGCAGCGGCCGTTCCCCGCGCTTCTGAGGCTTTGCTCTGGATTGTCCCCAGCAGACCACAGGCACCGGGACTGAAGCCGCAGCCGCGGCGGGTTCCCACGCTTCTGAGGCTTTGCTCTGGCACCGGAGCAGCTTACGAGCGGGGCTTTCTCGCCCCGGAGCTCGCAGGTAGCAATCCGCCACCTCGACCTCCGGGGCAAGAGAGCCCCGTTCGTAAGTGCGGATCCGACGTAAGTCGGGGACTGCCTGTAGTTGCAGTTTGTTCTGGTAACATGCCTTTTAATTCTAGCTTTCTCTGTATACAAAAATAGTGATAATGAACTAGTTAAAATCTATTTCTAGCTACGCAAAAAGTGAGGAACAATAAAGTTGGCCTGTCATCCATACATAGTCTGATTAGTTAATCCATACATCAGGATGTGGAGAAAGGAAGGATAATGAAACTGAAGGCAGGTACAGAGGATAGCATTAAGGAAGCACAAGTGGTTGTAGACTAATAGTATTCAGTGTAAACTGTTGAAATAACTATAGTTGTGGAAAGGAGCTGCTTTTTTTTTTTAAACAAGTAACCTGACTTTATTTTTTTAGGACTGTGGCAGCTACCAACATGAATGAAACCAGTAGCCGTTCTCATGCTGTGTTTACGATTGTCTTTACTCAGAAGAGACATGATACAGAAACTGACCTTTGCACTGAGAAGGTAGAGGAGTGGGGGAAAACTGACAGTCTTAATTCTGTTTTCATTTACCTCATTTTACTGGGGGCTTAAGGTGGAAGTAGAAATTCTCTCTCATTTTGATGTACTTCTCAGTGGGGGAGAACTTGCTTATATGCAGTATAAACTAAGTCAGAGAACTTCTGGGTTTTTTTTCTTGGCTCTGTTCCTAAACTGTATTTGAAATAGTGGCTGAGATGGGGAAAGCAGGAGTAGCAAAGGGTGGGGAGGGGGACAGGAAAGTAGATCCAGCAAGAAGAAAGATGGATCTGGAATGAGCTGGGAAGTAAAACTTTCTCTTGTGTGTACACAGAAGCTTCAGTGTTTGTTTGACAGGGCCTAACTAATTACTGCCTCATTAACTATATTCTGCACCCTCTCTGTCATATGCCTGCGTTAGTAGGGATGCATTGCTACTCAGGCAACACAAAGGAGGTGGAATTTGCATATTAAAAGGAAGTACATTCTGTATGAGTGGAGATGTTTGTGGTCTTTGCTGTTGGTCTGGATAGTGGAAGAGTGAAGAGATTGTACGTGCAAATGTGACTGGAAAAACTGAACCATATTCACATACCTGCTCCCATTGTGTCTTTTGGGTCAGATCTGTTGCCTGTGCTGAAAAACCCAAGTTTTCCATCTTGAGTTGTTTTGGCTCTTCAGGGTTATGGGATCGTAACTTGCATTCTACTCTGCTGTTGAGCCAGCTCTTGATTACTGATTATCCATATATGGATAAAACATAGCATGCCTTTTTTCATTCTGGATCCTAAGTTATTTGCAGCACTAGCAGTTAAATTCTTTTGACTCAGTTTGCTCTGGAATGTCTTAAATACTTATGAAACAATATTATTTTAGCTATTTTTCAGAGTTTATCTGCACTTAAAAAAATAACTTATTTATTATGATGCAGAAACAACTGCACTTCTCTGAAATTGATTGCCAATAAAAACAGTAGAACTGTAGAATCTGCAGCAAGCTATTGTGATTTTGAATAATAGACTACTTCTTCCTGAATCGTGTCATCAGAATTGATTTTTCTCTCATTCTAATTCTACCTGAACTAGCTCTGACTATTGCTGTGTTCCTTCTTTAGGTCAGCAAGATTAGCCTTGTGGATCTAGCTGGGAGTGAGAGAGCAGACTCAACTGGTGCCAAGGGGACTCGATTAAAGGTAGTGGGACTGCCTTGGGCCTCTGCTGTATGCAGGAGAAAGGGGGAAATGGTGTATTATCAATCTGATATATCAGTATGCTCTTCTGCTTATTAAGTAATTAATAGGGAAGAAAATAATTAAAATAAGAATATAAAAATTAAGTCCCATCAAAGATCCAGAATTTCCTCCCCATTGTGATTAGTGGTGCTGTGGAATAGTAACAGTTGAATTTTTATTCGTTGTATGGCTGGTATAATGGGTCTATCACGGTAGTCCTTTGTTAACACATTAGCTATTGTGCAAAAATGAGATCTCTTTTGCTGTCTAGAGTCATAGAGGCTCCCTGTTTGAAGAGAATTATTTGAGTGTATTCAGTTGCATGATTATATGTAATTCTCATATTGGGATACTCAAAACTAAAACATAATGCACTTCATGAAAAGGCTTGTGGGTTCTGTTTTAATTCTGATATTTCAAAATATCTGCCTTTCCGTCACTAGTATGTATGATATCTTTAATGGGGTAGATGTAAGGTTTATTTCTTTATAAAGTAGCTTTTTTAGACTGGTAACCTAGTCTTTTTTGTCTAGCGTTAGATTATAAAATTAGTAGAGGTACCTGTCTGAGAATGAATGTTAAGACCTAGATCATAGCAGTGTGGTCACAGTAAAACAAACTTTATTGTAAATCTAAGGCATGTACTTGGACAATGATATCAGCCATCATCTCCAGGGCTGTGTCCAGACTCAGGGTTTTTTTCGAAAAAAGGCTACTTTTTTCGAAAAAACTTCCCCTGCGTCCAGACTCAAGCCGCGTTCTTTCGAAATTAATTCAAAAGAACGCGGCTTTTCTTTCGATGGCGGTAAACCTCAATTTACGAGGAAGAACGCCTTCTTTCGAAAGTTCCTACCCAGATTGCCTAAAGGGTAGTTCTCTGCAAGTAGAATGCTAATGCATGCTTTTTCGAAATTTCTCCGTGCAGTCTAGACGCTCTCTTTCGAAAGAGGCTCTTTCGAAAGAGGCTTGCAGTCTAGACATAGCCCAGGTGTTTTTAGTCTGGACTAGAGTTCCTGTTTGAGTAGTCTGAATTACTACATTAAATTTGTTATCTTTCCAGGAAGGAGCGAATATCAACAAGTCTCTCACAACTCTGGGCAAAGTAATTTCAGCCTTGGCAGAGGTGGTAAGTAAAGTATTGCATCTATCCAGAGAGGAAGTTGTCATCTTTACAAACCTTTTAGAGCTTGGTAAAAGTCAAGAGACCATATAGTCCAGCAAAGCCCTTACATCTACTTTGCTCACATCAGTAATTGGCCTAACTGAGCCTATTTTTTGTTCGATGTGTGCAAGTTTATTCACGTGTATGAATCTCATGGGTTTCTGGTACAGTACTTGCTTGCTGCAAGACAGAGCATTGGTTGCTTTAGCTATGAATAAGTTTTTGAAATATAAATGTCTATTGGCTTTGCGCGTAATGGTAAGAAGAAAAACAAATAGTACGTGTATACTTGCTGAATTTTGTGCTTTTATTTTTTTTAAAAGCAGACAATTTTGATTAAAAGAAAAGCTTTACATCTTGTTGGGGGTTTCTTTGATTTAAATGATTGAGTCGTATGCGGTCATTTGGTGTTTGGGTTATTCTACTATAAATCTGGAATTTTATCTTGATATCTAAATGACAGGAGAATATTATATAATCTAAACAAGTAATCATAAAGTAGCATAAGAATTCTTTCGTTTTAATTGTGCCATTGCAGTTGCAGTGGAACAACACATTGGAAAAGCTACTGCTGCTGTGCACTTAAGTTACAGAAGATTTAACCTTTGGGACAGTCTGACTGGATTAATTTACTTTAAATTTTTTTGGGAGACTCAATTCTCATTCATTTTCTTATTCAGAAAAGCAATATTCAGTGCTGCATATCCTCCAGTGTAGTAATTTAAATGGTCCATTCTGTCTTGTTCAGACGTTCATCTTGTATTCTTTCTTCCTCTTCCTTTAATGCTTTCAACTTTAGGATAACTGCACCAGTAAGGTATGATGGAGCTGAGTAACCTTGAATGTTAAATCCTAGTTGATTGATATAGACCTAGATGCACTTCACCTGGGAAGCCAAGAGCAGGAATCTGTCAAGCGTTTCATGACAAATTGATTTGTGGAGTAGACTGAACTTTACTTCACGAAGAGGCTTGTTTCCATAACCAGAGCTCGACAAATAATGTAATCTACTTGCCCCTTGGCGAGTAGATTACACCCCAGAAGAGCCAGCGCAGAGTGAACTGCGCAGGCACAGAGCGCAGAACTGCGCAGCTGGTGAGCGGGACTCGCTGCCACTTGGCGAGCCCTGGCCATAACCATGAAGTAATGAGGACTGTACTGACTCAAAATAAAAAAGTTCTTGTTAGGGTTGGGAATAAAAGAGAAAAATGCAGGTGTAATGAATCTTTTTAAAATAAAGATTAACTATAACTTTAATGAACTATTAAGAATAAACATCCCTGCTCCTGATTTGTAGGTGACTTTCTTAGGACTACTTAGAATCAGTATGACTATTAATACATTTGCTTACTAAAAATATGATCTTTTACCCTCACACAAAAGGATGCCTTGCAGGGTTCAGTTTATGCTAACCTTATAAAATTGCCATGAAAATGTACTAGCCTTGATGTGCGGTTCTTACCTTTTGGCGGACAAGTAAAATGAGTAAGTTGAAAATTCTTTTCAACTACTTACCTGCAGCAAGTAGTTGAAAAGAATTTTTATAAGGCCAGTACTTGCTTTTGTGCAGTAATCACATTTAGAATGTTAGTAGGATGATGTTCCCATAACATCTGGTCAAAACTACTGTTGCAAAATCACTTATTGCATTAATAGTGTCCTGTAGAATTACACTTAATTTCAATTATTGGCAAAAGTTTGTCTGTTAATCTCCCTCCTTTTGCTGTCTTGAACGTATCAGATGCACCCTTATTCTGCAAAGCTCTTTCATGGCTGACCTCTATATTTCAAAATCAAGTTGTGTTACTAAGAAAGGTGGGGATGGAAAATGCCTGTTCCTTTCCCACAAAGGAATCTTTATAACCATTTATAAAGACAGTGATTGGCAGAATGTGGGGAGGCTTGGGGAGCTGTCGGCACTGAGCTTGTCTTTTGTTTGGGTAGTCCAAAACCCTCCAATATGCAGCTAGGTCCAAGGCTAGTTTTATAAAACAATAAAACTTAACAACCTTTGTGTTCATGCATCTGATTTCATTGACTCAATCGTACTGTCCTGAGCTGACATCTTATCCTCACATTTTCTAATAATCTTTGTTTTCCTGAGTAGCTTAAATGTCCTTCTACCTCTCTCCCTCCAGTGCTGTCTTTTCCAAATTGCTTTTCTCGGCAAACAGAATGTGATAGGGAAAGTGAATTTCAGCTTGAGAGCTTTTCCTTTTTTCCCCTATTTTTTTCAATTTAAAAATATTGATGCGAGGGCTGTTAGCAAGTAGTTGACGACTCAACTATCTCATAAGCATAAGTTTATTGGGTAGTCGAGTGGAGCATTTGACTACTCGCTCCCCCTTACTTCCAGCTGCCTCCGTATGAGAGGCAGCAAGGAGAAGAGGACAGGAGATGGTGCTGGAGAGAACTGGCCTCCACCTCTATCAGCAGGTTGAGGCTTGCTGTAGGCAAGGGCTGCTGCTGTCCAGCAGCCCCTGTTCATGGCGGCCTGCTTGAGCTGGCTCTGGGAGGGATAGCTCAGTGGTTTGAGCATTGGCCTGCTAAACCCATGATTTTGAGTTCAGTCTTCGAGGGGGCCATTTAGTGATCTGGGGCAAATCTGTCAGGGATGGTACTTGGTCTTGCCATGAGGGCAGGGGACTGGACTCGATGACCTCTCAAGGTCCCTTCCAGTCCTATGAGATATAGGAAGCTACCCCCACTCTTGCTCTGCAGAGCTGTCCTTATTGACTAATCGTGACGTTGATACAAATTGTGTTGAGTACACGATTAGGCAGATAACCGCAATTTAACATCTTTACTTGATACTAATTTTAGAGAATTTAACCACTGTAATGGTTTATTTCCACATGCAGAATAACCCTTTCTTGAAGGAGTATTCTGATCAAGTCATGTGGGCTCAGTATCCTTTGCACTCCCGCTGTTTGTAAGGAGAGTTTAAAAAGCCAACAAATAAAATATTTATCCCATCTCCTGGAGTGTTAATTGGAATGACATTCAACATCCAAGGAAACGTCAATTTTTGAGTAAGGTTGCTTGGAGTTTTCTTAGTGATCTGAAAGTCACTAACGTATGGTGGAAACAGGGCTGTTTATCTTGTTGTGTTCCTTCACCTATCCATTTACATGTTTATATAAATGTTTATTTTCTGCTTTCTGGTTTGTTTCTGATTGTACTACAAATATAATTTTAAAGTAGCACATAAAAACACTACCTATGACGGGCCACAAATAGTGATCATCTACCTCCAGTGGGGGAAAGATAATAATGCAGCCAAAGTACGTACGTACGTGTGTGTGTGTGTGTGTGTGTGTGTGTGTGTGTGTGTGTGTGTGTGTGTGTGTTGCAGTTTCTGTGGGAGGGAAATAAAAATCAGAGGGTAAAGTAGTTGGACAGAAAATAAAAAATAAGTAAATAGAGGGATTATATTTACAGTGTGTGTTTTGATTCAGCGTATGGTGTTGCTGTTAGTAGTGTTTAATTTTCCAGTTTGGCTCGAGGATTAGGATGACCAGATAGTAAGTGTGAAATATTGGGACATTGGTGGCTTTTTTTGAGGGGCTAGGGATGGAAGTATAATTAAGTAAAGCTAAGCCCCTAATGCCTGGATGGTGTTGATAATATCAGGATGTCTAGTCATTCTGTGTAGCATATGCTGTCTTCCATGTTATTCAAGTTTACACCTCTTTAATTTCTTCCTTTTGATTTGCTCTCTTCTAATCACATTCCCCCAAAAACATTTCTTTCTCAACCTGAAGTTCATCATCACCTTCATAGTCTATTGCAGTGGTCTCTAACCTTTGTAAGCATGAGAGCGCTTTTTGAATTTAAGTGCAATCTAAGATCTACCTCAAACCCAAATATCCTCCCTCACTTTCACCAGGCAGGGGCAGCACGTTTGGGTGCAGGCTGTGGTCTTGGATTAAGTGATTTGGAGTGTCGAGAGGCTCTGAGCTGAGCTTGGGGCAGGCAGTTAGTGCCAGAGGGAGTTCTAGGTGCAGGCTCTGGGAGGGTGTTTGGATTCAGGGATGTTCAGGGCTAGGGCAGTGGCCTGGGATGCAGGAGTAGATTCATGACTGGGGTAGGGTTTCAGGATGTGGGCTCCAGCTGGGCACTGCTTACCTCAGGTGGCTCCTGGGTGGTGGTGCAGTGGGGCTAAGGCAGGCTCACCCCTGCCCTGGCCCTCCACCACTCCCAAAAGCAGCCAGCAAACTCCATCCCATGTCCTATTGTGCCCTTCCCCGCCATGCTTTGTGGAGATAGGACACAGAGTGGGAGAAGGGGGCACCCGCACTTCAGCACCCCTCTTTCACTTGAACAGCAAGCAGGAGGCTCCTGGGAGTGCAGGGAGGCATCTCCAAGGCAAGGGGCAGGAAGTGCGCAGCAGTGGGGGGAGGGGCAGCTGAATTGCCCTCAGTTGATAGCCTCTTGACCAAACCAATCAGAATCACCTGTCAGAGGCTCCAAGATATACCAGTAGATCCCGATCTACTGGTTGGTGACCACTGGTCTGTTGCATAACTTTTCTTCTTTAATACTGAGTATGGAATCTGGTATATGACTTTACTAACCCTGTTGTTCAGCATCTTAATAATTTTTTGATGTGTGCTCCGATTCTCTTGTGTGCAGAGCTGGCCCCTTTAACTGTTGCGGACATTGACATGATCACCCTAGATTCTTTGTCTAATGAGAAACTTGCAGCCTATGAGCACTTGCCACAACAGAGATTAAGTTCTTCTATTTCTTCCAACCTTGTTCTGATTGCATTCAAGTTTCTGCAGTAAACTGTGTGGCTACGCCTAGACTGGCATGATTTTGCGGAAATACTTTTAACTGAAAAGTTTTTCCGTTAAAAGTATTTCCGCAAAAGAGCGTCTAGATTGGCAAGGATGCTTCTGTGCAAAAAGTGCTTTTGCGCAAAAGCATCCATGGCCAGTCTAGAGACGATTTTGCACAAAAAAGCCCTGATCGCCATTTTAGCCATCGGGGCTTTTTTGCGCAAAACAATTCTTCTCTGTCTACACTGGCCCTCTTGCGCAAGTATTCTTGCGTAAAGAGGGCTTTTTCCCGAGCAGGAGCGTGAAAGGGAGCATCAGAGTATTTGCGCAAGAAGCACTGATTTTGTACAGTACAAAGTCAGTGTTCTTGCGCAAATACTCGCGGCCAGTGTAAAATAGTATATGACATAGGCTTTTGCGCAAAATCCTGCCAGTCTAGACGCACCCTATGTGTTTCTCCATCTGCTTCAAAGATTAAAGCATCTAAGAAAAGAGACCTGTTCAGTTACAATTTCTTAAGAGTCAGAGGGGGAAGCCTTTTACCTTTTGTTTAAACTCTTATTTTTCATTTTCTAGAGATCACTGTTCAATAATGAGTATTGTCTTTTTTTATAGAGCAAGAAGAAGAAGAAGACCGACTTTATTCCATACAGAGATTCTGTGCTAACTTGGTTACTTCGGGAGAATCTAGGTATGACTACACTAACTGTACTAATATTCAGGGGAATTCTTCCCTCAATTTTCATGTTTCATAGCAATTTTCTGTCTCAAACCAGTGTATGAAGTGGGTATTAAATATAGAAGTATTTATGTTTAAGTCCTCCTTCTATTGTTATAGCACTTTTATTTTCCCTGGGCATAAACATTATTATTTTGTTGAATACTCTGTAATATGGATATTGTTTCAGCTGGAAAATAGACATACAATAATATACTTATTACAAGGTGCAGTTTAACTTTTTAAAAACCTTACTTACGCATTATAGGTGGAAACTCCAGAACTGCCATGGTTGCGGCCCTGAGTCCAGCAGATATCAACTACGATGAAACTTTGAGCACTTTAAGGTACTATCCTCTAATTTGGAGTGGAAATGTTTGGCTTTCAATTGAGGTATTCAACTGCTCATCCTTCGTATCATGAGATAAGCATTAGGCAAAACTGAGACAATTCATGGGGAATATGTTATGGACTGAAAAATTATCATTATAAAGTGAACACCAGTCCCATGGTGTGTGAACATGAGGAGAGGATGTAAGTGTTTACACTTAATCAGGTAAGTTAACTTGAAACTGATCAGTGCTTTGAGATGAGGATGAAAATTTCTGTCCACTGGTGCAAAAGGGAAATAATCTTATGCATGAAGAGAACCCAGTTTAAAATGGCTTCCTTGGTAACACCTAAGCCTAACTTTTCAAAGGTGCTGAGTACTTAAAACTTCAATGGAATCTGAGTAGCTGGAGCTTAATACCTTTTTAGTGTGGCCCCTACTCTTTATAGCACTTCAGAGGTAGAACTGCTTGATTGACTACCTTGTTAGTCTGAAATAATGGCAGGGTGTTAGATAAAAAAAATAGAGAATTGCTGTATGTCTCTTTCATAAAATCATACTAGTATGTATTTTGCTGCTTCCAGGTATGCAGATCGTGCAAAGCAGATTAAATGCAATGCTGTTATCAACGAGGATCCCAATGCCAAATTGGTGCGTGAGCTTAAGGAAGAGGTGACAAGGCTCAAGGATCTACTGCGTGCCCAAGGGCTAGGAGATATTATTGACAGTAAGTTGATTAAGCAGTTTGAGGGGTAGCCATGTTAGTTTGTAACTTCAAAAACGAGTAGCCCTGTGGCACCTTAGACACTAATACAAATTTACATAGTATCCTGAGTTTTTATGGGCAAAACCCACTTCTTAAGATTAGCTGGGTTAAGTAGTCTTCAGTGTTCCCTCTAACCTGTGGAGCAGCACAGTTTCACAGATAATTAATCAGCCTGGAACCTCTGACTGGGTGGGGCTGATGAATCACCTGTGAAGCTGTCTTGCCCCACATTTTAGAGGGAACATTGTCCCTTCCATCATGGGGCTGTGCTCTGCAACAGGAAATCAACTAATTGCCAATACACTTGGTTTTTGTGGGAAGGTGTAGCCATTACATTTCAGTATTTCAAAATTTTCACATTGCTCTGGTGAGTGGTTGTCTATAACATGCCTTCTCCCATTCTTACGTTACTACTGCATTGGATTCAAACTCTTTTGGTTGCTTGCAAAGAAAAGCTTGAGGATGCTGAAGAGATGGGATTGTGAAATCCCTTTTGCACTGATCAATGGTGGTGACCCTTCCTGATAAAGGAGCAGCTTTGGGTGGTCTCTGAAAAGTCTTGGCCCATCCTCTGTTAAAAGGATGGTAGCTGTGTCTGGAGCAGGTCAGCAGCCCTATTTCTTTTTAAGAATAGCTCATGTCATGTTACCACAATTCAAATATTGTTTTGTCCCAAGTACAATAATGGTTAATCTTTGTAAGATAATTGCCCAAATGATACAACCATCTCACAATTTGCTGCTTAACTGCCTGCAGCTGCGATAATGGTTTTTTCAAGCACAAAATTTAAGCAATGTTGGAAGAACTATGTAGTGGGAGCTTGTATATTATATGCTCTTACTGTCCAGGCCTTGCTAGTACTACCTCTCAAGATGCTAATACAAGAGAAGCTATGAATATGCTGTCTTGGATTTGTCCTATTTTTCTGACCTTCACCTTCAATACAGAAAACCAGCTAAAATCTTCCGTGCTAAATTCTTTCAGAGTTTGGGGCTGTGACTTAATTCCTTTTGCATGAGATGCTTTTAAGATCAGTGTTAATTTTGTGTCAAACTAGTTTTCTTTTTGTTTACAGTAGAATCATCTGTATTGAAATGTATTTAAAAAGTGAATGTTGTGTTACTGACCTTTTGATGCTTATTTTCCTGTGAAGGGAATATTCTGGTTGAATCACAAGCCATGTGAAGTGTGTAACTTGTTTGTATCTTCTATCGTTATTTGTTTGAGAGAATGGATTAAGAAGAAAACTCAGCTCAAATTAAAATATGTTCACGTTTGATGTAGTCGTTAAGTTTCAAAACCAGAACTTTTAGCTGGATTTGAACAAAAAGTATTTGATGTGAAACGGAAAACTTTTTGTTCTTTCAAATGCCAAGTATTCTCTTCCCTTCCTGTGTCACTGTTTATCCTAAACTTTGACCCTTCTTGTATTTCCCTCTTGCTTCCCTTCAGTTGGTCCAATGGGAGATGATTACTCTGGAAGTGGAGGCAAATGTGTGTATTGTGTGGTTCTATAGCTCTTGCTAATCTGCTTCTGTTGGGCCAGCTTTTAATTGAGCTTTGCATGCCAGCATTCCTCACGGGGAAATCCCAGACAGAGTGGTTACTTTAAGTCTCATGTTTAATGAAAATGAATTTTCCTATTTTTAGCTATCCTTGGGTAAAAGCACAAAGTTGAGACTACTCTTCAGTACATTGGTTGCTTCCTTGTTTTGAGGAGACTGAGGATGGTAATACTTCAGTCTATTTTTACAAATAGTGCGGATTTGAACGTCCAAAATCTGTCTTTTCAGAATTTTTTTCAAGTTCATACATTAAACAGGTTTCCATCCCCCTAGACATCTAGTCTCATGACTTATTTTCTGACTCAAAATATGTTATAATTTTACATTTGAGAATTGATAATTTAAACTAAAGTAAAACAAAACCATAACTATTTCCTCCAAGGGAATGTTTCTTTGATAGCCTCTGCACATGTGTGGTGTTGGGTGCTTTGTGCTGATTGCAGTCTCTTTGAGCTCTTATTTGTCTTAGCTATCAATATACTTGCTGTCTAAAAAAGAGATTTGTTTTCCTCTGAAGGAAGGAATCTTAATGTGAGGAAACTGATAAGGATTAGGTAATAGGCTAAGAGACTGTCAGTAAGACAGCTGTTTCTGTGAAAGGGAATATACCTTTATAATCCACCTTCAGAGAAATATCTTCTGTACAGGGATGGATTATCTAGATTTGTTTTGAGGGGCAAATCTTAAGGAGACTGTTTCTCATTTTAGACCTTGTCTATGCCCTTTTTCAAAAGCTCTCTTCACCCCAAAACAATACTGGAAGAGATCTGTCTGAAATTTCCTGAACTCCAATACTGGTGGTGTAAAGACTCAGTCTGGCCTTCCTTTTTTGGTGCTGCTTAAAGCTTGTTGCCTAACTTCGTCATCTCCGTGTGTAGCTGCAGCATCACCCAGAGAAACGTGCATGTGTTGAAGGATAGGTTCTGTATGGACTCTGCAACAGCTAATCTGATTGCAAATGCTACCTTCTTTATCCCTTGAGTGCATGTGCCCATTGGCCTTTCAAGACTCTATCCTTCCTGCTCTGTTCTACCTGCTTCCCTCCACCTGGTGGCTCTTTCTCTTCTGTATTTTTCCACTTCCTATATCAGCAGATGGTGGTTTTCAAACTGTACTAACTGTACAAGGCTAATTGTGGTGTGAAATAGGACAGAAAGCTTATTGTGTCTGTTGGTAGGATTGTCCTGAGTAAGAGGAGAGAAGGTGAGCGGGGACTCGGTGAATCCTGAGCTACTTAACTGTCAGCATCTGCATGTTAGCATTTTTTGACGAGAGAGATGGTTGTTGTGAGATTCATTTGGCTTAGAATCAGATCAGAGATGGTCTCTTGATAACTTTTTCATGGTGGGAATACCTGAATTTATCTGTATTTTCTTCTGTATTTTCCAGTTTCGTAAATGTCATCTTCAGGCATCCTGGGCTACCAGTATCTAGATCAGGGGTTTTCAAACTCAGGATCTCACTTGTAAGGGCAAACCACTAGCTGGCCCCAAGATGCATTTACCTGAGCGTCTGCTGGCATGCCCGCTCCCAGTGGCCACAGTACACCCTTCCAAGCCAATAGGAGCTGGAAGCTGTGTCCTGTCAACCAAAGTTTGAAAACCCTTTATCTAGACTGAGAGAGCTGATTTGAGAGACTTAAAAGTGCCACCTGTTGAAACCATTTGCACAGGCCTTCTACCAGAAACTTAGCCTATTATATATTGTGGATCCTTTTCTCCACAACATATTAAGATGAGTGAGATGTGGTGGTATAAATATGAGCCATGCTCTTGTTCACCCTGACTAGGTCTGTGTATAGGGTTGCAGCTTTGTACCCTTAGGGAGCATGAGTTACAGGCTGAGATTACGCTGGCACTCTGTGTAGCATCTCAGGAGTCCAGGTTGTGAACCACTCTAGTCCAGGGCTATTTGGTCCGACAACATCCGTGGCCTGACATGATTTGAGTTAGCAGGATGCACGCTGAATAGGTGTGATGATGTTTCCTGGGGTCCGTTTAAAGTTTCTTTACAAGTACCAGTCTTGGCGCTCAGTCTTCTGTGCTGTTATTTAGCTTTAATTTACCGCTAAATGTTTTCTATGAGCCCAGTAAGCAGTGGAAATGTTGGTAATGCTGCTAGACAATATTGACACTCCTGTGCTTGGCCAAATTCTCTGGTTTGGTACTTGTCAAGTCCCAAGGATTCTGGGCTAGAGAGGGTTAACCTGTATTACTTTTAGAAATTAAGATTCAGTAAATCATTTTTTTTAATTTTTTTTTTTTTTTACTGTTTTCCTTTTAGATTCCTTTCATATGAGTTGGATTTGAAATTATTAGGTTTAGGCTTTTTGCTCCAATAGCGCCTTTGCTGATAAATGGCCATCTCTGTTCATGGCCCTCAGCTCCACATTGCTCATCAGTGTGACAATGCCCACTAGTGTGAGAAGACTGAGGAGATCATAGGAATAGAGCAGTCCACAGCTGTTGTTTAGATCATGAGGATTCTTCTGGTTTACAGTGTATTGTTCAGTGTTTAACTTTGTTTTGTCAGGAGTTCACGGGTAACATATTAAGTTTATTCTGGAGTCCTTATTTACAAGTTTTAGAGACTGAATTGACCTTATATCTCAGGGATATCTGTTTTAAAGGATTTGTTTCAGAACTGCCATCTAAAACTGTTAATCTTGTCTGTGTAGTGGCTTAAATGCTTTCCTCTTACACTAGTATTTCCTTCATGTCTTCCTTTTCCCCTTTTTTCTGCTCCCTGCCTCTCCTTTGTGCCTTCCCTTGTCTGTCTCCCAGATCTGAAAGATTTTCAGAACAATAAACATAGATACTTGCTAGCCTCCGAGAATCAACGCCCTGGCAATTTTTCCACAGCCTCCATGGGGTCCCTCAGTGCATCTCCATCTTCCTGCTCTCTCAGTAGTCAGGTGGGCTTAGCATCTGTGTCCAGTATACAGGAGAGGATCATGTCTACACCTGGAGGAGAGGAAGCCATTGAACGTTTGAAGGTATGTACCATTGCAGACTGAGCAGGATGTATTTTGGCTGCTTGGAAAGCTGAGTAATGGGGAGATATTTTCATAGGAAAACATGACTTGTGTTTGTATTTCTGTGTCAGTACATCAGAAAGCGTGGCCGTGTTGGACAAGTTGAGGAATGGGTTCATGTATAAGTTTTTCATTCATGAAAATCTGGGATTGATTTTTGTCTTTAGTATTTTTATTGCTGAGTTGATTTCATTGTGGCTAATCTTAGTGCACACTTACTGATAATCTTGTGTGTTAACAGAGGATTGAGCAGCAGAGTAGCCAAGGAGAGTTTCAAGAGGCCTTTTCAGCATTTCCCTGAACTGGATAATCAGCTTTTAAAGAAACCCTGAATGTACCCAAACTAATAAAAGAACAGCATAACCCCGTTGCTGTTGTCTTCACCCAACCCCCGCAGATTAAAATGTGAAGCACACAGAATAGCTTGCCTTATCCAGACAATAGACGCCTTGTCCTAAATGCATGTGAATTGAACAGCATCAAAAGTGCTTTAGTGAAGGGTTTCTTTCATTTTTACCAAAGCTCCCAGCCCTCATTGGGTGGGTGAGAGAGGGAAGCAGGGTATGTTGAATGTGAGTGTTGCATTCCCATGTCTTTTCCATGAGATGCTGCTGGAGGGAGGGGTTTGGATGTGGTGAAAACACATGCTGCACATCCTCCTTCCATTAGAAACTTGCTGTTGTCATGGAGATAATGGTGCTGTCTCTGTAGTCCCCTGACACCCAGTCACTGAATGACGTCTGTAAATCAGATTTAACCCCCTCTCTTCCCGTCCCCCACTCATAAAGTAGTTTGAAATCTGAGTGAGGCTGCCAGGAAAAGTGTTTTCCTTTTCCGTCAACATTCAAGGCAACTTTCGCCTTATAAAATACCTTGGAATCATTAAATTGTCAGATTGTATTTTCCTTCCCAAGTATTGAGTGGTTTTTAGAGCCAAAAGTAAATGGAAGCATGGAAATGAACTTGAGGATACCTTTATTTTAGCTTCCCAGTGGGATTTGGGCAGACATTATTTTTCTGGGAGGAGGAGTAAAAAATAAGGAGATGGGGGAAAGGTATCTGTAAAATTACTTTTCTTTTTTTTAAACATAGAGGTGTTTTCCCTGTTGGGGTGAGTTTTTTTAAATTCTTCCACTTTGCTCCCTAGTTATACTTTATGCGTTAGTCTGAGGGCAGATAAATAGCTTTATTTTGCATTCAAAGCATAGGATAGAGTGGAGAAGGCAAGAAACATTCTCCTTTATCTCTGTCCAGAGAAAAGAAATGGTCTCTTGTGCTAAAGCTATGTAAATGCTGTAGCTATTGAAAAGAACCCTGTGAAAAGCTTCTCAGGGAAAAAATGCTGCCAGACACGCTGTTGGCTTGAGGTTTATTAGGATGGTGCTGAACCTTCTTACAGTGGTAGTAAATGCCACACTGAATCATACTGATTATTGTGGTGTTGGGGAGCTACTAATATCCTGCTTAGTCCTCGGTACCAAAGGACAAGAGAACTGAGCCCCTATTTAGCTTGACATTTAGCCTCCTTTACTAAAATCCTTGGACACACTTGACAATCTATTGCTGGAGCTCTTATCCTAAACCTTCTATGAGAGCGCTAGCCCAATAAGAGGCAGCAGACCTTCTGGATTTCCTAGAAATGGATGCCCATTTGGGGAGACCAGAAATGGAATGAAGTCTGGAAGCGGGTTTAGGAAGTAATAACTTATTGGACAGAGGGAATTGAGTTGTAATTGCCATGCCAACCTCAAAGTGAGTCTATTTAGGGTGAGGGTTCTGTTGCCTGTGTCGGGGACTTCTAACCCAGACGGCTTCAGTTCGTTGTCTGACCGCAAAGAGACAGGCAACACCAGCATGGTCTAATCACAAAGCTCTTTATTGAAGAGTGCACACGACAATAGAGAGCAGCCCGTCTCTACCAAGAACCAGCCCCTGATTTCTATAGCAAATAGGGTTATATAGACAGTTCCGTCGCGTCATAGACTATTTACTTAAGCAACCCACCTGCCTTTGTTAGTTAGAAACTTCTAGCACGGGTGCATACCTTGCCAACTATACAAGGTGGCCTTGATACATTAGCAACTTTCTTATTAAGACAGAAGGCGAGTACCAGACAACGAGGAGACAGGGAGTTTTCTTATCAGTTCCTTAAGCAAGCTGTTCAGCTCAGCAAGTACAAAAATGCAGCTGTTCGCTTGTCTCATGCCCTTGCTCAACTCGTGTCTCAAATTTTGTTCAGGGACTACCCAGAACCCTTTGCTCGACATTTCTCGGTCTGTCTTAGCATAACCACCCTAGGCCCAATTCTCTAGGGCCTAACACCTGTAATTGGCCTTAATGTTAACAGCAACCAAAGATCCGTTCAGTATTTGCCTACCTTTATCATAAGTTTTTGATCTGAATATTTGTTCCCATACGAGAGTTCCAAGTCCTTTAAGAGATTTTATTATTTAAAATGTATTGTAATACGACTTGAGGTTCAAATGAGGGAAATTTTTCCCTTCCTGTAGCTTTGTTCAGAGGAAGAGAGTCTCTGTATGACGTTTTGCATTCATTTCTGTGTCCCTAATACAGCAGTTCAGTCCTCTGAAGCATAAATTTCATAACTCTGCTTATTCTTTTATGAATGAAGAGAATTCTTTAGGGGTAAACCTGCTCTTTTTTAATGCTGCTTTTTGATAAATTTTCAATCTTCAATGCATTAGGTTTCAGATGTTTTTTCTAATATCTTCATAATGATTAGGGGGAGGGAGGGGAGAGGAGAGGGAGCTGCACTGCGTTCCTGAAGGATTACATCACCACAGGGGCATGGCGGGTGATGAAAAATGGGAAAGAGGAGGCTCTTTTAGCCTCTTGCACAGTGATGTGGCTGGTGCAGCCCTGCAAAAAGCTACTTTCGGTAAAAAGCTGGCCACAGCCCTTTGCAGCCAGCTGTTCACAACAATTTAAAATCTGCTTTTTACTTATTTGCACATTTTTGTCTTTGATTGTAGCTTTGCTGTGGAAGTGTAGGTTATGGTCTAAGATTTATGCAACAGCTTGGACTAGAATGTCAGTCTGTCTGGCTTAGGATACAGAACAGATTCCAAGGTGGAATTGATTAAAATAGCCCCTTTCTAAGTGCAGCAAGTGCATAGAATGCTGTGGGCTGGATCTATCTGCCAAGCTGGTGGATCCAGTCTGTGGATCCCCAATTGAGACCTGGGGACGGGGAATGCACAAAGTCTCCTCCCCTTGCCAGAGGTGTGTAGCATCAGAGGGAACTGCTGCGTGTTTTAAAATAGCCAGCGGTTCTCTCTAGCTGTTGTGCACCCCCAGCAGGGCATGGGGCAAGAGACTTTGCCCTCCCCCTGCCCCCAGATCCTGATTGGCCAAGGGGTAGAGGGAGCGTGAAAGGTCTCTTCCGGCAGCGACACCTGGAGGGAGCTTTGAGCTGTTTTAAAACAGTTGGTGATTCTCTGTAGGTGCCGGAGGCAGGGGGGCAAAGACTTCATGCACTCCCCAACCCCCAGGCCAGTCAGGGTTGGTGGGTAGGAGAGTAAAAGATGTCTCCTGGCTCCAAAGCAGCCTGGGGCCACTTCAGAAATTTGTGAAGTGGCCCCCTTTAAAAATAAAAAAAAATAAATTGGCCACACCAGTGCTAGAGGCATTTGACTTGTCACCTTGTCCATTAGGTTGAAACTGATTTTTGGGTATGTGGCATTCTTAACCACAATTTGTTATGTATTGACTTTAGCACTCAAGTTATAAATATAGCTCCAGGAATATGCAAGAGTTAAGAACTATGACCTGTCAAGTAATTTAAAAAAGTAATCGCGATTAATCATGATGTTAAACAGTAATAGCATACCTTTTCTATAAATAACAAGAAGTGGTTTGGTAGCACTTTATAGACTACCAAAACATGTAGATGCTATCATGAGCTTTCGTGGGCACAGCCCACTTCTTCAGATGACCAGAGTTTTTGTTCTGGAAGCGCTTTATAGACTAACTCGGCTACCCCCTGAAGCTTTTATATAAATGTTAGTGGATGTTTTCCACGTTTTCAGATGTATTCTGTGCTGTAATGGAGATCAATATAAGGTATACATTGCTCTTTTATAATAGATATTTGCACTGTAGAAATACAAGATAGTATTTTTCTGGTCACTTAATGAGTACTGTTGTATAATCTCTTTATTATGAAAATTAAACTTACAAATGTAGAATTATATACAAAAATAACTGTATTCAAAAATAAAACAATGTACAATTTATGATCCTTAAAATTTAAGATCCTCCAACTCCGCTCAGTCCCGCTTCTTCTTCAGCCAATTGCTCAGAGAAAGAAGTTTGTTTACATTTAGAAAAGATAATGCTGCCTACTTCCTGTTTGCAGTGTCATGTGAAAGTGAGAATAGGCATTCACATGGCACTGTTGCAGATACAGCATATCAAGATAGATCTGCTCGCTAAGAGAGATTCATATGTCCCTCCACGGTTCACCCACCATTCCAAAGGACATGCATATATGCTGCTGCTGAGTTCTGCTTGATAAAAATCCAGAGTAGTGCAGACTGACACAATGGTCATGCTGCTCATCATAGGAGTCAGATGGCACCAGCAGAAAGTTTATTTTTGGTTTTGATGATTTGTGTTACATAGTTTCTGCATCGTGATGTTGCTCTCTTAAGACTTCTGAAAGGATGCTCCCCACCCTGTCATGTTTAGATTTTAGGAGACACTTAAGAGTCTTAAACCTTGAGTCAAATGCTGTAGCTATTTGAGACATCTCACATTGGTATCCTCTTCCTGTTTTGTCTGCTGTGAAAGCGTTCATAAAACAAACTGGGTCATCATCAGAGATTACTATAACATGAAATATATGGCAGAATATGGGTAGATTGCAGAGAAGGAGACAGAATTCTACACCAGGTAGTTGATTCTCAAATTTAATTAACTTTTTTTAAAACCAATTTCATCACCATGGAAGCATGTCCTCTGCCACGGTGGCCAAAATGTGAATTGGCACATGAATGTTTAACATATCCGGCACATAAATATCTTGCAATACTGTCTACAAAAGTGCCATGCAAATGTTGGTTGTCACTTTCAGCTGACATAGGCAAGCAGCATTGTCTCCTCTAAAAATGAAGTTTCTCTTAACAATTGGCTTAACAAGAAGTATGACTAAGTAGACTTATTGGTTCTGAAGTTTTGCTCTGCTTTGTTTGGGTGTAATTATGTAACAGAAAAATCTCCATTTGTAAATTGTGCTTTCAGGATAGAGATTGTACTGCAATACTTGTATAAGGCAAATTGAAAAATACTTTTCTTTCATTTATTATTTAACAGCAAATATTTCTAATAAATATATGAAGTGAACCCTGTATACTTTGTATTCTGTTTAAATTAAAAGATATTTGTAAATGTAGAAAAACATTCAAAATATGTAATACATTTCAATTGATACTCTTTAACTGTGTGATTAATTGTGATTCTCAAAAAATTGCAATTAAAAATTAATCACATGTTGAGACTAATTGAGAACCCTTTAAATAACAAATTATGACATCCATTTATGACATCAATTTATATAACTCTTCCTCCAAAAGGCTCCAGAATGCATTATAAACCGATGTATAGAAGGAGATACTAAAATCCAGTTCTTCCCTCTTAGCTATTATGATATTGAGACCTGCTACAGGCAAAAAATTCTCTGCAGACAGGAGATATTCCTGCTTTGTCTAGCAAGATTGCTCTCCTGGAGACTTAAATAGTACCCATTATGTCTTGACCATGTAATCTTCTGGACACTTATAGCCTAGTGTCTTGGAATTGAAGCTTCTGGCAGGATTTTTTTGGTTGATAACTAATCAGTCTCTGGTGAGGACTAATGTACACTGCTTTGGGAGTAAGTGTTGACTTCAAAGATAGAGGTTCTTATTTCTTGTAGGTTCCTGCAAAAATGGTTATTGTTAAGGAGCAGTTGGGGTTGCCTGGGATGCTTTGTTTATAACTGTGCTTTGGCAATGAGGCTTAAAATTAGCACTACATCATTTGCTGCTGGATCCTACTAATTCAGATCACATTTAGGTCTGAATACTTGTTTAGCTGTGGTTCCTTAAGATGAGATGTTTTAAATCTGGGGCTCCATATAATCCCTCTCCACTCTGCTAATTCTATATTGGGGATTTTGCACAGGAATCCGAGAAGATCATTGCAGAGCTGAATGAGACATGGGAGGAGAAGTTGCGGAAGACTGAGGCCATTAGGATGGAGAGGTCAGGAGCAAGAAATGCTGTGGATGTCTGGGGGAGGAGGGCAGGGGAGAAGGAAATAATATAGCGAAAATATGAACTCGCCCTAGAAAACCAGAGCATGAAGCAGCTAGCACACTTCTTGTTGGTGTCATCTGCTCATTGTATTCCATTATGACAGATGAGTGGGTAATGCAGAGAGAAGCAGTATTTCATTATCATACCTCAAGTATACTGCTTAGAGTTGTCATGGAAGATGCTCGTGTTGGGTAAGAATGGGAATGAGGCAGCATCTAGAATTGTTGCATCAGCTTTTTGGGGCTTCAGTTGAAGACAGCATAGAAAAGAGGATTGGTCATTAGCATCTTATTTATTTTTAATTTTTAGGATGATTTCAGCTAGTGGAATGAGTAGACTAATTGTAGAATGAACCAGAAATATAAATGTAAGCATTGTAACTTGTCTAGCTTATATGTTCATTTACCATGAATAAATTCCTTTATCATGATCTTAGCTTTTTCCCAAAGGATAGGCAGATTTATGGAATAAATCATGTAAAAGAGGTTCACTCTTGTGATGCATCATTGCCCTAAACTGGAGAGTCAGATCTACTCAAGTTTTGCTTCTTCGATTCTGCAGGCCTGTGGGTTATGGAGCAGAAGGATAGGAGTTAATCCTGTTCCATATGCAAGATAGACCCCAGGGCTGTTGGTCAATCCAGATGCAGGATGATTGGTAGTGCAGTACATTATACAATGACTATCCATTGAAATTTGGTTCAGATTTGTACCATTGGGACTACAAAAGCATCTCCATGACTTCTTCGTTTCCTTCCTTTGTAGGGAGGCCTTGCTGGCTGAGATGGGAGTTGCCATTCGGGAAGATGGAGGAACTCTGGGAGTCTTCTCCCCTAAAAAGGTACAGAATATTGATGCTAAATGATGTCCATTCTGGAAGAGGTTGATCAGCCAGTTGGGACATTTTAGTGGTTTTAGGCCCTTAGATAATGAAGACCTTTCACAGTTTCCAGTTAGCCATTAGTTGCTGATAAGCTACCTTGCAGAAATTTAAAGCACTTTAAATTATGAAACACTTCCATCTTGAACGAGTTCACTACTCCGTAGGTGGTATGAAAGGCTTAGCTAGCTCACCACTGAAATACTCACCCAGGTGAAAACTATCACTTCACTACACAGGAGTTAGAAGGCGAAGTAAAGAATGATGTCCACAGTGCCTTCTGCTGATTACAGGCATTCCCCGAGTTACGTGGCTCTGACTTATGTCGGATCCGCAGTTACGAACGGGGCCCTCCCTCTCCCTGGTCTCCAGCAGACCAGGGAGAGGAAGCAAAGCGGCGGAACACGTGGGCAGCGGACAGCCCAGACGCGTCTCCCCGCGTGCTCCCCGGCTTTACTCTGCTTTGCTCCCCGTCCCCCTGGTCTGCAGACTGCTGAAACTGACGCGTCTGGGCCGTCCGCTGCCCCCATGCTCTGCGGCTTTGCTCGCTGTTGAAACTGATCAGTTTCAGCAGCGGCTGAATCTGGACGCCAGTTCCGACTTACATACAGATTCAACTTAAGAACAAACCTACAGTCCCTATCCTGTACGTAACCCGGGGACTGCCTGTATTAGAATAGTCAAGATTTATGTATTATATGAGTTAGCATCAATTTAGAAAAGAAACTAAAGTGCTATGAAAAGTACTATATTTAATGTCCAAAAATTGCTGAGAACACTAATGTTCCTTTAGAAAGAGAACACATCTGAGATAAGGATGTTAAATTTTGATTAATCAGCTAATTGAGCAGTGAATGGAATTTCCATCAACTACTTCATTAGTCGATAAGGGGGAAGTGGGGCACTCGCTACCACTGTTGCACCTAAGCCGTTTAAATGTAGGAAGAGCCTCCTGTGGCTTTTGCTACATTTAAAAGGCAGAAGAGCAGCAGGGGACTGTTGTGCTTCAGCCCTTGAAATGTAGCAAGAGCCCTCGGGGGAGCTCTTGCTACATTTCATAAGCAGAAGTGCAGCAGTCAGAACTGGTGTGAAGCACCACTTCTCCGCTGTGCCTATGCCTCTCCTGGCCTCTGTGGAGACAGTGTTAGGGGGGAGAGGCTGAGATAAGGATGTTAAATTTTGATTAATCAGCTAATTGAGCAGTGAATGGAATTGAGGAGTGATAGAGGCAGCAAGGGGGAGAGGCAACTAGTTGAGTCTCTAATTATCTGATAAGCTGATGCTTATTGAATAGTTGGCTAGTTGCTTATATCCCTATTCTGAGAGCAGTATCTATTACTCTGTGCTGGGTCTCTGATTCAGTATTGATTCAGATGTGCCACCAGCTTGCCAATACACTTCCTGCAGCAACTGGATCTCTACTTGGTAATGCTGCCATTAAATTACATCCTGAAATTTCCTGGCTCCATTTTCTTATTAAACATCCATTAATTTTGTACACAGTAGAAAATAGGGACTGTCTAGTTTGCTAGTAACTGAGCATTCACAGACCTGAGAGGGTTCAGTGTTTCTTTAGTCCATATCAATAGTTCCACATAAATGTTAGTGAAAGATGAAAGAGGTACAGCTACGGAAATATGATCAGTCTAATGCCATGTGAACTTCTGTGTGGGAAAAGGGAGTGTGGGAGGATTTACCCATGCAGCGAAAGCAGTCATTATTACTTACAAGATCTGAAACAAGAGACCCTATCTCCTGAAACCGTAGCTCTGTTTTCACACTGAGAGCTGGGCATCAGTATCTAAACACATAATTAATGTATCTGAGAACCCCAAGTGTTGTGTTAACTGGGACCCATCTGAGTACTTTGCCCAGAAGCCCAGAATGACAGATTTATTTATTTGTTTTTAGCTGAAATGGATATGTGGTGGTGTTTTTCCTGCAACATTTAAATGAAATATTTCACTTACAAATGATTTTTGTTTATCTTTTGTAACTTCCTACCAAAGCAGCTAGTGTTCATAGGATTTCTTCATTCTCATGACATATTTCCTTGGGGCTTCTTTCTTTTACTTCATATCTCCATGTAGATTTTCCCTCAGAGGCCATCAACTCTGTTTGATGACTCTCTTGATGCGTTTTCAGCTGACCAGGTTTGTGTATTAAAGCTGTTAGGGTTGAGTAGTTGTTCAGTACAAGTTAGCCAGTTGTGTCTGTGGAAACATGTACTAGAGAAAATAAACCCATTAAACCACTGATCTGTTGTTAGATCCCTGTACTCCTTTTCCTTACTATCCTCCTAGTTTGGTTTTTATAGTTAATCCTGTGGTAATTAGTAGTAGTAGCTATGAAAGTATTAGAGGTCTGGATAGAAACTTAATACATTCTAATTTTTTCACTTCTGAATAATTTGTTTGACTTTTTATAGTTCATATTGGTGCCTGTCTCAGCAGTATTGGAGTACTTGTGTAGTATCTGTTAGCTGTACAGCATAAATGAATTGTTGGTTTAGTTTCTGAATGAAAAGGTCTTCACATCACAAACATAATCATTGCCACAATTTGCTCTCTTGGTGGCAGGGTACTATTTGAAATGAGCTGTGGAAACTGAAGTATACTATCAACTCTGGAGGGATGGGAGCATAGGGCATGGTATACTTGGACATATCTATTGTTCAGAAAAACAGGGAACTTCAGGGTATTTGAATTGCTTATTGTACTAATGCCAAAAATCTTCCAAATTCCTAAATTTTCTTGATTACAAAGCTTTCTGATTTACTTTT